TCTCTCACCTTGTAAAATACGTAACACCATCTATCACCGTGATAATGATGAAAAAGAAAAGAAAAGCTAAAAAACTCTTTCCCGAAACCCAGACGCTACAGTTCTACGGCATCAACTTGTTCCCGGACCGCGATTCCTACTGCTACATCGACGGGCTCCCGACCAAGCACCGCCCGACGGAGCAGCACCTGTACAGGTGCATGGCCCTCGTCGCCCCGGCCGTGCACTTCGCCTGGAGCAGGTGGAACCTCCTGGCGGGGAAGACCAAGCTCGTGTTCCAGATGAAGACGAAGAAGATGGTGACGGATGAGAGTCAGGTGGGAGGCTGGGCGCCGGCGGGTCTGGATGCGGGGGGGGGGGGGGTGCAGGCATTGAGTAAATTATATTGTGAGAAACTGAGTGACAAAGAGAGAGAGAGAGAGAGAGAGAGAGAGAGAGAGAGAGAGAGAGAGAGAGAGAGAGAGAGAGAGAGAGAGAGAGAGAGAGATGTATATATATTTATATATATTTATATATATGTTTATATATATATATATATATATATATATATATATATATATATATGTATATATATATGTATATATATTTATATATATATATATATATATATATATATATATATATATATATATATATATATATATATATATATATATATATACAGAGTGAGAGAGAGAGAGAGAGAGAGAGAGAGAGAGAGAGAGAGAGAGAGAGAGAGAGAGAGAGAGAGAGAGAGAGAGAGAGGAGAGGGAGGAGAAAGAGAGAGGAGAGAGCGGAGAAATAGATAGATAGACAAAGAGATAAATAGATAAATAGATGGATAGATAGAGAGAGAGAGAGAGAGAGAGAGAGAGAGATGTATATATATTTATATATATTTATATATATATGTTTATATATATATATATATATATATATATATATATATATATATATATATATATATATATATATATATATATGTTTATATATATATATATATATATATATATATATATATATATATATATGTATATATATATGTATATATATATGTATATATATTTATATATATATATATATATATATATATATATATATATATATATATATATATATATATATATATATATATATATATATATATACACAGAGTGAGAGAGAGAGAGAGAGAGAGAGAGAGAGAGAGAGAGAGAGAGAGAGAGAGAGAGAGAGAGAGAGAGAGAGAGAGAGAGAGAGAGAGAGAGAGGAGAGGGAGGAGAAAGAGAGAGGAGAGAGCGGAGAAATAGATAGATAGATAAATAGATAGATAGATAAATAGATAGATAGATAGATAGATAGAGAGAGAGAGAGAGAGAGAGAGAGAGAGAGAGAGAGAGAGAGAGAGAGAGAGAGAGAGAGAGAGAGGAGAAATATATATATATATATATATATATATATATATATATATATATATATATATATATAGAGAGAGAGAGAGAGAGAGAGAGAGAGAGAGAGAGAGAGAGAGAGAGAGAGAGAGAGATATATATATATATATATATATATATATATATATATATATATATATATAGAGAGAGAGAGAGAGAGAGAGAGAGAGAGAGAGAGAGAGAGAGAGAATGAGAGAGAGAGAGAGAGAGAGAGAGAGAGAGAGAGAGAGAGAGAGAGAGAGAGAGAGAGAGAGAGAGAGAGAGAGAGAGAGAGAATGAGATAGACAGATAGATAGATATATATATAGATAGAGTCTTATTTATTTATAGATGCTGCTCTGCTAAATCAAAAAGGAAGCAAAAATTTATCTTCAAACGTTGCCATAGTAACAGATAGATAAATAAATAAATAGATAAAAAAAATTAAAGCAGTCGTATAAAGTCCGATCACATTTCTCGTCGCTAAACAGAGACGGAGACGAAAATAAACACAAACGAAGGACCACAAACACCCGCAGAGTAAAGCTAAAACTCTCTTCGGCGGAAATACCGTGAAGTCTAATGAACTCAAAGCGTGACACGTTATTCATTCTTATTATTTTTCTTATTTTATTCTTTATACGCGTTTTAGTGACAATGCGTACATAGTCAACATACATCATTATGTAGATGTAGATGTTTCAAGGAGTTAGATATTTTGCTGTATTTTCACAAAAACAACCAAATAGAATCTTATGTATTTGGGTATTCGGAAAAGGGATTTAGAAAGGATTTGACTGAACTTTATATTGTGGCTGATACTTTGATGCGCACGAGAGGAAAACTGCAAGAACTTGTAAAACGCACATCCAAGAATTCTCCTTCTCTGTCTGTCTGTCTGTCTGTCTGTCTGTCTCTGTCTCTCTCTCTCTCTCTCTCTCTCTCTCTCTCTCTCTCTCTCTCTCTCTCTCTCTCTCTCTCTCTCTCTCTCTCTCTCTCTCTCTCTTCCCTCTTCTCTCTCTCTATGTATACATATTTGTGTCTCACTCATTCTCGCCACTACTCTTTATCTAGCAAATAACTATAATTGTCCATTAAATCACTACGCGAGCCAGCTTAAATGCTAACCGACAGCAAAACACTCCAACCGCAAAAGGCAAGAGAGAGAGGGACAAAAACTCATCGGACTTCATTCCATTTTCTTCACGTCCCCGTTTATTTTTTCATAAGAAAAAAGAAGGGTAAACTGAGGCTTTAATGGATAGGATGTCCATATTCACACACGATTAAGAAAAAGAGCGAGAGAGAGAAATAGATGAACAAATAAATAAAAAACACACACGAAGAAAGGCTTAAATGAAAGTTAGAGTGAAAGAAAGAAAGAACACGCGTGACGAGAGAGAGAGAGAGAGAGAGAGAGAGAGAGAGAGAGAGAGAGAGAGAGAGAGAGAGAGAGAGAGAGAGAGAGAGAGAGAGAGAGAGAGAGAGAGAGAGAGAGAGAGAGAGAGCGAGAGACAGAGAGAGAGAGAGAGAGAGCGAGAGACAGA